CGCACACACGCACACATGCAAGCACATACGCACACATGCACACACACACGCACACACACGCACACACACAAACACACGCGCGCGCGCGCACACACACACATGCACACACACACATGCACGCACGCACACACACACGCGCACCCGTCCTTGGCGCTGGCAGTTCACGCATACTAGCGTTGCTGCTGGATTCAAGAAGCGCGACAATCGAACACCCGCAGCACAATGACGGCGTTGTTCGTTAATTTACGCACCTGCTGCTTGCTTGCATAAGCGCTCGCCACGGCGGAACTCCCGCCCCAGCAGCGGCGAAAGCACGCAACTCTCTCTCTCTATCTAGCGTCGTGTTACTAGGGCCATGTTTTTCAACATGGCGTAATAGCAGCCGCTGGGATTCCGCTATTCTATACATGACGTCGGTGCAGCGCGTACAAAGCCCGGATTTCACGTGTTTTTACCACCCGTTCTCATATTTTCTTGACCGTTCTCACCGGCACTCATTGCATAACACCAAGTGCATATAGAAAGGCTAACATGTCATAGAACACTCGCACATCATCCGTTTCAGCAATATGTGCACCGATCTGCATTTCAAGTTAGATTGTTTACATTATGTCCACAAAACTAGCGCGTGATTTTTGCCTAAAGGTCGAGATAGGCACCAGTCTAGAATGATTTACGTCACGTAAATACGATTTATTTGAGAAACCATCAATTTAATATGTTCTTGCGTACAGCGTTTCGTTCGTGCGTCGCGTTCATGTGTCATGCACTCGTGACGCATGTATGACAGGCATATAATTCAACACAGACCCAGTTCCAGACTGTTCAGCAAATCTCTGCATGGCTCGCACGTTAATGTTCTGCACGTGTTTGCTAATCGTGGTTTTATGGTTCGGTAGCTAGTATTGCGTAACCCAGCTGTTGTGGTTCGATGGGTTTTTCATGATTGTGTACTCGCGGGCCGTAGCCGTCTTTTATGATTAGATAGCAATAGATATATCATATATGTGTGGGAGGTGCGTGCGTGCGTGCGTGCGTGCGTGTGTGTGTGTGTGCGTGCGTGCGTGCGTGCGTGC